TCTCCCCCCATGTGCACGGGGCAGACGGAGATCAAGGAGACTTTCAAGTACATCAACACTGTGGTATCCTGTCTCGTCTTCGTCCTGGGCATCATCGGCAACTCCACGCTGCTGCGGATCATCTACAAGAACAAGTGCATGAGGAACGGCCCCAACATCCTCATCGCCAGCCTGGCCCTGGGCGACCTGCTTCACATCATCATCGACATCCCCATCAATGTCTACAAGGTGAGGGGAAGCCGAGGATGGGTCCGGGAGCGGGTGCGGAGGGCTCTCGGGGGTCCCCGCCGACCCCCGGCAGATACCCGGGGAGGGGCGGAGGGAGGAACGCGTCCCGCTTCTGGCTGGGGGACACCCGGGGGCTAGACCTCATGCCAAAACCCTGCAGGTTTTTGGTGGTATTCTGGTCAGCTGTTGTCCCAAACGGCAACCCCTCTGTGCCCCAGTCCCAACCCTCTCAGCGGTGCAGGCTGGGAATGGGGCAGAGGTGTGCGGCTGGAAGTGGTCAGGCTCTGAAAGTCACCTGGAAAACAGGTGCTGTGCCAGGAATAAAGGGAATAAATGCAATATATTAACGCGCAGTGGATTTGTCGCTTCCCTCCTTTCCCCCCGGGAACGGAGGAGGGGGCACAGAAAAGCCTGTCCTGCGGGATGGGTACCACTCAGTCCCTCCTGCTCGACTGGGGCAGATTTAGTCATATACTTCACATGGATCTGTACAGTCGCTGGTGGCGTGGGGGCTTTTTTTCAGGAGGAACCAAGCTCATTCAAACTGAGCGATTTGTTTTAGGTTTGTGTGTCGAGTGGCTGTGAGGCATGATGCTCTCCTAAGCCTGTGAACCCTTTCGCCAGTGCTGCAGCATGGGCAACCGAGAGGGAGTGAGCCACACCTGCTGCTCTGGCACCTTTTTTGCTCTGCTCTTCTTTGACTTGATAAGACTTGTCATGGGGGGAGTGCAAGCTCTGTCTCGCCAACCCAGCTTGCACAGTCCACTTGTCCATAGGAATTCGGTGGGCAGTTGAATCCATCCTCTAGTTAGGATCAGCACTCTTGGGAGGGATGCTGATCCAAGGTACCTCCAGCCTTGAGAGTTAACAGTCTGGGTCCCTGAGTGCTCATAAGTTACCGCCTAAAGTGAACATGAGAGCCTTCATCCGTTCCTTCTCCTCACTTTGTATGCATGGTGTTAAACTCGGGGGTTTGTTACTTTTAGCTTTGGAAAAGCATGTTGAAAGGACAGGTTTTGAATTTAGTCTTCTGTATCCATAGTGATTATTCCCAGAAGCTGCTGAAATGGCAGAATCCTGTATCTCTAACTTTGTGAAGTATTGAATTATTATGAAGCAGGGAACATCATAACTGTGTTAAATTCACGAGCTGGATAATTTGGATTGCACAAGAGTTCTTCAATGCGGAGTTTCAGTGTTTTCCATACTATACATTTATCATAGCTTTTGTGAGAGGCGTGTACTCTTCTGAGTGAGGCTGGAATTTACGAAACAAAATACTTTAAACTGTATTTTTGTAAAAAGAAGACATTGATCAAAAAGATTTTTTTTTATCTGTTCTCAGAAAAATCAAAAGGATTAAATCAATAATAGCTGCTCAATACAAGACTTTGCAATCTCGATGACATTATTTCAAAATTAAATTGATGATAACATGCAATAATATACCACAGTCTTTATCTTGATTAAGTGTCATCAAGTATATTGTTATGAGTAGGTTGGAGCAGGAGGAATAAAAGGTCAGACTGCAAACAGATAAGTATTATACCAGCTGCAAGTCCAGGATTTTTATTGTGCTATTGATAATGCTGGGATCTGAGCAATAGCTCTCAGGTGCTAAATCTCCCACGCTGCTACTCATCTTAATGAAGAGCCCATAATAAAATTATACTATCCCTTGCAATAAATATTTGCTGTTTTAAAACAGGACTTTTAAGTGAATGTAAATTAAAAAAACCCCACACAAATAAACACAGATCTTAGCTATTATATTTATTTAATCAAAATTAAGAGTCTGAGTGGGGTTTGAGTTGATGATAACTTTTTATTGACTCGACATCCCATTTAATCCTACCTGCAGGTGAGCCTTATGAGGGAGGATACAGTAATGCGATCCAAAGCTGACGATAATCACCTAGCGGTATGGGAAAAACAAAGGCTAGCAAAGGCTGGGTTTGCAAATCAAGTGTACTTAACAGTTGGAACTTGCAATTTTGAACCAATTTTAAACTGGATGAAACAGATCTTCAGAATTGCTACCAGATCCTCAGTTAAGACAGCTGCCTGAAAAAGAACGTGAGAGAATTTTTCATGTTAATAAAATGCCAGCAGTTTACTCAACAACACTTGTAGTGGAAAGTGTGAAAGTGTCTGTGAACGCTTTCCAGACAGACTCATAAAGAGAACTCAGAATGGGCACAAGGAGCAGCATTTTATTTTTAAAAGTGGTGACTGCAAAAGATGTCCCCTGTGACTATTTAAATTAAGTGCATATGTAAGTAGCTGTAAAAATACGCAAAAGAAAATTTACATCTCTTAAACTGAGGGTGTCTAAAGAAAAGCAGGTGTTATCTAGATTGTGAGGCAGATGCAGTCCAATGTGTAAGATGCTAATTAGTGTGTTGCACTTGGATAGATTTGAATATCAATCAATACTTTCAGCAGAAAGTGAAAAGTATTGGAATCTGTCACACAGTCGGGAAACTGGGTATGAAATAAGGGTTTGAAGGGCGTTCAGTTCCAGCATGCAGAACCTGGAAGACCATTTCGGTGTTCAGGGTCCTCGTAAACAATCTGCCTTTGGCTGCACCCCCAGAACAGCAGAATGGGAAGCAGAGAAAAGTCTTAGACGATCATTCTGCAGCACATCATGCTGTGGCAGTGTAGATACTTTGCAAAATTGCTACTAATTAAATGTGAAGGTGGTCCTATGCCTGGTCAACTGCTTCACTAAACAGACTTAAGTAACCAAGTCTTTGTTAATTTGAGGCCACAAAGAGCAATTAAAGGTGTGAACACAAGGAGCAGAAGGAGAGTTAGGTGATCAGGAAGCTTTTTATGTCCTCTGCACTTTACAGTGGCAGCTTGTACACTTGACAATACAGGTCGGCAGTTCTGGAAAGCTTACACTCAGTTTCCCAAATCGATATGAAGCTGGCAACTCCCACCTGTAAGACACCAAAATAACATGAGGATTGGAAATTCCAAAATTCCATTAGCTCTGCCTATCGTGTATATGTATAATGAGATAGGAACATAAAAAAAGCCATAATCAAACAATATAACAACATGCTTTCTCTTCTGATATATAGACAACGTCATCTCTCATTTTGTAATATTTATTCTCTTATATTAAATATGATTTATTGTCATAGAATCATAGAATGGTTTAGGTTGGAAAGGACCTTGAAGATCATCAAATTCCAACCCCCCTGCCATGTTCCAATGGATTTTTAACAGGAGGAACAATCTATCCTCTGCACGCTGTTGTGTGGCTTTCTGAACTCTGACTATCAATTTGCTATGACACAAATGACTGAGGAAGGATATCTACCTGGAAATAGTGTTACAGGTTCCTTTATCTCAGAGCACAATGGAAGAGCAGAGAAAAATTTCCATGGAAGGAACAAAAACTGGTCTTTATCCAAACCAATGATCAAAGGCCAAAGTTCGCTTTGTAGGCAATGATTTTTTTTTCAGTAATGTACTTCAGGGATTATATAACAAATACAGTTAACATTATAGCATTATTAAGCACTGGGAGTATAAGAAAGACAAGATTAGGGACTGCATATCCCATGCAGACGCAAACTGACCCCTTTTGTTAATCCAGCTGTGCTCTAAAAAAGGCAGGATTTCTACGGAAATGACTTTGTGACGACCATACTAACTCATGAAATGCAAGTACCTATAGGGCATGCATCATGATAAAGCCAGTCTTTACCTAACTTTCCAAAAAGGTCAAGGTGCTTGTCTTTAGAAAACATTGTTACTATTCCATATTACAGCTCTTGGCCGCTGGTTAGCTTCTGATATTAAAGACAGCAGCCATTTTATTGGGAAAAAGGCATTATCCCTTTCTTTCAACATCTGAACCACTTACTTGAGATCTTGCAAACTTCATCTCAGAAGTTTTTACATGAAGTTAATTGATCTCTGGCCACTAGAAGTCTATTTTGCTTAGGAACCCTTTACGGTCAACAAATGCAGCATATAGGCTCTTTAGAAAGATCTGAACTGTCCAGTGGAGGAACCTGTCTAGATTCTACGAGCAGCCGGGGGGTAACTTTGTTAGATGGGAACAATCTACTCTGAAGTCCCATATGTGGGGTAGTGGAAATGTCTGTACGTTGTTGAAAATACCCATACATAGTTTTCACAGTGGATCTCCAAATGGAAATATTTTAGGTGAGGTCAGTATAGATTCCTGAATTTAGAATACTTTTGTCATTATGTATATACATTTATTATGCATACATTCATTTAAAAGATCCATGCGACTAATTTCAAAACAAGTTTTCATCTCCTTTGGTTTTTTGCTTCTGTCCTGTATTTATGCTTCCCAATCTGACAGCAGCACGGCTTTCTTAACAGTTCATTTTGACGCAGACCTTTCCCTGGGATTGTGAGATTGCAGAAGCTTTTAACTTTGACAAGACATTATGAGGTTTCTGTCATTTTCAAGATGCCTGTGTGGTATTACTTCATCTTTATTCAGTATTTTTTTTTAAAATGAAGCTTCCTAAGTAGAAGATACTAATAAAGACACAGGAAAAGAGACTAATTGTGTGCCTCATTAAGATTTACACTGTTAATTATAATTAATAAAAGATCAGTAAAACATTCTTAACTAGGGAGGGGGAATTATATTTTCTTGTCTAGAGGGAAGATCCCCACCCGGACGTTATAATTATTGTTAAATATTAATAAGTTTTGTAATAGTGTCTGACTTATCCCTGACCATAAGCTTAATTTCCTGGGCAAATTTCCTGTTTTGAAACACTGAAAAATACTTTATCTGCATGACCCCTCTGTCTCGAAAGCATCAGGTGAAAATCTGCCAGTCATTTCACAGATAGCTGAAAAAAATGTTGCTTGTGGATTAGGTGTACAGTCACATGTCTGATTTCCCGTGTCACTCTGCAATTTATGATTATGAAAATCGAGTCCTGTCATCCTGTGAACTAGACTTGCCATGAACGCGCAGATAGGAGAAAGTACGAAGTCCCACGCTGCGTTTCCATCTGCATTCATTGCTCGGGACGAGGACGCTGATGTAAACAAGTGCACACTTTGCTACTTCTTCATCCCCGACTGCAAAAAGTCCACAGTAGTGGGTTGGAGCTGTGGCGTCAGCCTTCTCGCTGGTGGCCACCACGGCAGCTGAGCCGTGGAGAGCTGCGTGTCATGCTCGCATGCTGGCGTGTTCCAGCGGCAAATTACAAACATCTTTCTGTTCCTACACAACCAAGAGGAAGCAGGGCAGGAATTGCAATTCACAGGTGTGTCTCTTGAGTCACAACATCTCTTGGGGCTACTTTCGTAGCCGTGCAGCTTTCACATCAGGTTAGGCTCAGATCAGCACCTGCTCTAGTCTTGGCCAGGAGTGCATCAGATGTATTGGTATATATTAAGTACGATTTCACTTCATCCTGCTGTGCGTTCCCTTTTCTTTCATTTTATTTCATTTCATCTTCAACGCATTTCTGTGGCTTAGGAGTAAAACTTTGCCCGTGTAAAATAAGTGACTATGAAACATTGGGAAAGGTCACTCGGAATACAGCCAGTGGTAGACTTCTCTTGGCATTTTACTGCTGAAAATGCAACATTATTTTTCTCTTTGCTGCCACTTGGCAGTATTTCATGATTCCAAGTCATTTATCATTTGTAAAATGGCACTCTTTGTACAGACACTCTATTATGAATCATAAGAAAATCATTTTACTCATACAAAATTGCATGAGACTACATCTATACTTGACTAAGAATAATCATTGCTGTTGTCCACAAATAATGATTCTCCTGAATACTTTACAATGGATTTTCACTGTACTTTATGGTAGTGTTTTGAGGTGATGGCAATACAGAGGACAAACAGAAACAACGCGGAAGCGTAGTTCGATAATTTAAATATTCTACTTTTTCCTTTTACTTTCTTTGTTTTCAAGCTTTTGCTGCAAAGCATATAATTAACTACTAGCAATACATACCATGATAGAGAAAGTTATGACTCATTCATTAAAATGCTCAAATTTCACAATACATCAGCTGTAAGAGATAAAGGACATGTTTTTCCAATGCAATGAGGACAGCTGCGTGTCCATTCTGCCGCTGATTTAAGCTGGCTGAATGCAAGTAACATTTAGATATTGGGCTAAACCCAAGCTAATGCACTTTTTCTCACAGTAGACCACATTCACTCGTGGGCAGCCCCATTATAATCCAGCCATATGGCTCCCAAACTGGAGCTGGCTCAGATCCAGTCAGCTTGGAGCTCAGGTGTGACTGTCTGCACCTGAGTGATAAGCATGAGTTCAGGGAAATAGCTGATGTGCGGCTGAGCAGTTGTGATTTTAGGGAAGAGAGACAGGGACTGTACACCAGCTAGTTGATAGCTAAAAGTCTTCAACAGAATCTGCCAACAGAAATTTGATCAAAGTTCTGAATTTTAGTTCAACAAAGAAAAAAATATTTTAGTTTTGAAGTGCTTTTTTAATGATTCATCTCCAGTTTAATATATACACATGTACAATTTACAATAGACACTATAAACAAGTATACAATGTATTTGCTACCCAGTCCTTAATTTCTATAGCAACTAGGTGTGGTAGGTTGGAGGTTCACTGCCTTGTTGATATAAATTAAATTAGTCCAGTTGTCATTTGATTCTGTAGAGTGTACATTTAAAGCACCTGTAATTATTCACATTGCAATTTTAATAGTAGTTTGTTACTATCACCCTCTTACAGCAATTAAAAAGAAGTCTCGGGGAGAGGCTTTATTGAAAATACTTTAATTACAAACTGAGTTAGTTTCCCACATCACATAAGCAAAAGATACTCTATGGTTATTGCACCCTCATCTCTACTTCCTCTGCTATATTACTTTCTATAAAACTCTCAAGAAACATAAATCCATAGAATTTATTTTTCTGCTTCATTTCTGTGGGAGCATTATACTCTTTGTCTTACTTAAGTAGATCATTGAAGAAATAGATCAAAGCTGGTCCATGTTACAGTTTTCCTCTTGCTGTTCTTTTAAAGATCACCTTTCAGCACAGGACTAAAGCAGATTTTGGAAGGTTTTCTGCTTTCTGAAAATATTGGTGCGCACTTTATAGGGATTTCTAAAAGCACATGGTCATAAAATATAGTTAGTTTCCTTTGTGTTAAAATAAAATGAGACTTAAATTACATCAGGGCTTTTCAAAAACTGTTGTTGACCATGTAACTCTTTATCCTTAGATGCACATGTATGTATGCTTGAGGACTTTGCTGAACCAAACCAACGTGAGCAGGCAGCTCCGTGGGTATCTTCAATCATTTCGGTCCCCAGCAGGATCTACACAGTGTGCTGATCTATTTCTTCTTTTCTTACATCCCTGTTAAATGAGATGTCTGAGGAGACCTGAGCCAAGGGAAAGATCTTGCAATCTCTTTTGGGTAATCGTTCTTCTTTCCTCTCCTTTTCCATTTTGTAGCCCTCTATCCTCAACAGATCCAAAAGGCCTCATTTTGAAGAAAGTTACGAAAACCAGAGATGGACTTAGATAATGTAACTAATTACAGAAACTCAGAACGTTTACTTTTGTATATAACGATTGCGACTATTTCTTGGCATAACCTCTGTTCTGGAGAGTCTTGTTTTTATGAGGAACTGGAAGATTTGGCTGCTGCTGGGGTGTATTTGAGCCATTAGAGCAGCTCACAGCAGAGTTCAAAGATTAAATGCTTCTAAACTGAAGCTACAGGCAAGCAGTTCATAGCATCAGCTGTGAGGAAAGTGCTTTCTGTCTCCAGTAAGTCTTGTCCCCTAAATCAGCTAACATGTTACCGCTGGGGATGTGACAGAAGATTTCCATTAAAATGCATGACCCAAAGTGCAATTGAACCAATCTAAAATTTAGTGTGCTGTTTTCTTTATTCCATAGCACTTAAGGGTATGTCGACTGTGGAGATAGTCCTTCTGGTATTGTAATACAGAATCATTGGAAAACTGGCCACTAAAGATCTTCAGTGCAGGATTCATCTGGTCTGCCTTTACCTGCTGTGAAACATTTAGTTCAAACTAGCTGTTTAGGCTTCCTGAGTGTCCAGTGGGTCCCTTCTTTCGTTATCAGATGGTCAGCTGAAAATTATGGGATACATTGCTCTCCAGTGTTGCCTGACTTCTCAGCTGATGGAGCCTAGACACCAAGCTTTTGAATAAACCCCACCCCGGATGTGCACTTGTTGGCTTTGTCCCTGTTCTAATCAGCATCAGGTAATTTTCTGTATTTCTAGAAAATGGAGAGTTACTTGGAACATAAAAGAAAAGCAATGAATGCTCAAGATGGATAAAGCCAAGAAAACATGAGGGAAATCCTCACCTGCTCGGTCATTTTTCACTATAAACACTGGGGTGGTGAAGTTAGGGGCGAAATGAGTGAAGTTTGCAGGGCATAAGAAGTCAGGTCTAAGCCTAAGCCTTAATGCATACCCTTGCCCAGCCAGGGAGTGACTGTGAAGCTACTGCCTAGTTTTTAGGACACACACCTTGAAGACTCCCTTGTGAAAAAGTTCTTCTTGACTAAGTTTTGTATGGTGGAAAATAAAAGAAAAACAATTAAGAGAAAAGTCTGTGTTCTATCTATGGAACAATTACGTTTTTAAAAATTATTAATTTCTAATTGTTTTCTCTTCACAGCTACTTGCAGAGGACTGGCCTTTTGGTGTCGAGATGTGCAAATTAGTACCCTTCATTCAAAAGGCATCAGTGGGCATCACAGTGTTGAGTTTGTGTGCCCTCAGTATAGATAGGTGAGACCCGTTTTTTCATCAAACTCTTTTTCTTTTATTTTCTTTTAAATGCGGGCATTGGCTGAAATTCTCCTTTCCACTTAGCTGATATAATACAAATAAGCTGAGTTTAAGCCGGTTAAACCGGGTGGGTTTTCTTACATTTTTAATCTGCAAATGTGTGCTGCTGTTTCAGGTACCGAGCAGTTGCTTCTTGGAGTCGCATTAAAGGAATTGGAGTGCCAAAGTGGACTGCTGTCGAAATTGTACTGATCTGGGTTATATCGGTGATATTGGCTGTTCCAGAAGCTATCGCATTTGACATGATTACGATGGAGTACAGAGGAAAGAATCTCAGAATCTGCCTGCTTCACCCCACACAGAAAACATCTTTTATGATGGTAAGACACTGACATTTATAAAAACACAGATCTCCAGAACAGTTCCTTGAATCTTCTCAGTGTTGCGGGGATTGTAGTATGCACAAGTGTATGTGAAATGTAGGGGAATATAATCTTCAAATGATATATTGACAGATTTCTGAAGTATACTGGTTAGAAGAAGAGCATTTAGAAACTTTTGTCTTTTTGTGGGCTTTGGGCATATTACTGCCTTGTCCCATTTTCTCATCTGTAATGTACACCTTCTAGAGATGGTGATTTTCAGAACAGACCGACCAATTAGTTATGGCATACTTCCCCAAAATGCTGAACATTCAACTCCTAACAGTGTTTTTGCTTTTGTTTTCCTTCTAGTTTTACAAGCAAGCTAAAGACTGGTGGCTGTTTAGCTTTTACTTCTGTTTGCCACTGGCTATCACAGCATTTTTCTATACTCTCATGACCTGCGAGATGTTACGAAAGAAAAGTGGGATGCAGATTGCTTTAAATGACCACTTAAAACAGGTAAAAATTTATACCTGACAACTCTGCTGACTGTAGAGAGGATGACAATAATACCTTTACTGTTTTATTGCCACATCATTCTTCTGTTCTTGTGTGACAACTTCAAGATTGGGAAGATTGGACAACTTCAAGTAAGAAGTAGTTTCCTAGCAGTGGTGCTGCTGAACTCACATATATATATATATATATATATCTCAAAGCCCTCAGAAACCCAAGATTTTAACTTACAATCACAAAACTTTTTTTCTTGTTTGGTGTTAATCCTCCAGGTTTTATAGTTTTTATTTCTTCTTTACAATCATGAGATGGATATTTTGTAATGAAAACTGAGGTCATGCTGTGATCTAAAAGGTGGTGCTGTAAAATTGTTAATTACTTTGAATCAATTCCATGTGGAACTGTAGTGAGGTTAGTAGTATATGTTTAGCAGAACAAAGCACATTCACAAATACATGCCAAGTTAGTACTGCACTGGAGACAAACATCGTACGTCACTAGAATTAAGGTACATTTGTACTATAAAGTATATTTCCTCTTACCTTGATAAAGCTGTAATTGAAATCTCTTGGAACATGTAAAATTAGACCTGAGATCAAAGCACAAGAAAATGCAGTTGAAAAGAAGCTGGTATTTGAAAGTGATTTGGGACATGAATATTGCTTCATTTTAATTTAAATGACTTTTCATGTCCTTGATTTTTCATGCTATTACTCATACTTTTTAAAATAAGAGATACAGAGAATCAATGCAAGACATCTAAAACAATAGAAAAGATTAAGTATATATTCCAAGAAAATAAGGTATTCTGATGTTCTCCTAAGTCCTGTTTTGATAGGGGTTTTATTTTGTTTATTAGACGTTTGGATGTTAGAAGACAACAATCAAGAGAGAGACAGAAACTATATCACTGTTCTGCCCAATTTTCTTTTTCAGAGACGTGAGGTGGCCAAAACTGTGTTCTGTCTGGTACTTGTTTTTGCCTTGTGTTGGCTCCCACTTCATCTAAGCAGAATATTGAAACTCACTATTTATGATCAGAAGGACCCCAACAGATGTGAACTTTTAAGGTGAGACTATAAAAATACCTGTGGGCTGCTGACATTCTCCATAAGCATAGTTGGATTTCCTAATGGTCTACCTTACTCAGTGTGTCTGAAGTTCTCCCTCTTTATCCAGGACAATCTGGTTTCTCTCCAGTAGCAGAGTCAGGAAATGATGAGGAATCCCCCTGTTTGTCCTGTATTCCTCCTGATCCCTTTTGGGGCTCTCCTACTGTCTTGTGGCGTTGTGTGGGTGGAGAGGGAATTTCTGTCCCTGTTTTTCCCTTTCAACAGAAGAGCGAGAATTAAATCTGTGAAGAAAAGCTCATGAATGTTTCCTCCCACAAGTGATGGTGGTTGGATCTCTGAAATTACTTTCATGAGAATGAGTGTCCCACTCTGGAGACATTCAAAACCCACCTGGACGCTGTCCTGTGCAACCTGTAGGTGACCCTGCTCTGGTCGGGGGGTTGGACTAGATGATCTCTAGAGGTCCCTTCCAACCCTGATCATTCTGTGATTCTGTGAGAATGGTCTACTAATGCAAACTTTATTATTGGGCACAGTTGTTACGTCCATGAGTTAATCCTGTTGATATAAGCACCTTTACTATTACATTTAATAGTTAGTCTTTGTTGAGTGAAGCTGGGTCCAATTTTCATAGCTGTAAACCTCTACTAAGCCTTTTCAGAGAAAATGGGAAGTGTCTCACTAACTTTAATTTCCACACAGCTTTTTTCTTGTGATGGACTACATCGGTATTAACATGGCTTCACTGAATTCCTGCATCAATCCGATAGCTCTGTATTTGGTGAGCAAAAGATTCCAAAACTGCTTTAAGGTAAGAGGCTGCTGGGAGCTGATCCTCTGGTTAAAAAAAGATTATGTCAGCAGTAAGATTAATTCCATAACATGCACAAAGTGTTTTAGATGGTAATTACATTTTATTTTAAATTTTAACGGGGTTATGGTAGGTGTTCTCGCCCTCTCCTGCTGGAGCTATGTAGAAAGGGATTAAGGATTCATGGGGACGAAAAGAGAAAGCAAAAGAGAGGAGCGTACAATAAACTCTCTCGGCACTGTGCTAATCAGTGCTACATCACTTCCCGCCGGGACCTGGCCCCCAGCCACTGCGAGAGCACTGACAAAGCAGACTCAGACCGGGCTGCGGACGTCCACGTAGCCATATCCTCTGCAACCCAACGGGGAGGGCGCTGACCCCGGTTTCCCCCCATGCTGACAGGGCGTTATCTAAGGCAGAGCGTGCAAGTATCTACTTGCCCCTTTCCAACGATGATAGGAGACAGACCTGTTCATAGTTTTGCCTTGGTTTGGGTGAAAAGTCATGGGCACTAATTCTCCACACAGGATTTGAGGCCCATCAGTCCTTCAGCCTTCATGTCTGCCCAAAAAATGTCCAGATTTGGACTTTTTTGTGGTCCCTTACCATATCTTCAGAGGCTGTATCAGGGTTCTTACATTGCCTACTGCAAATTCTCAGATTTTTATTTTCTTGCCAAGCATTTAAAATTTGGCCACTGCTGGGCTTATTGCCTGGCTTTGTAAATTCCTTACTGGCTATATCTTTCAATCAGAAGCCAGTCAGCTCTACCTCTAGTAGCGTTAGGGTATTTCCCACATAACTGTGACAGCACAGGCTGCAGATGCTTTAGTGGCGGTCTCGTCTTCCCTGTCTACATTCCTGGCTCCTTGAAAGAGTCACTGGAGCTGAGACCACCTAAGAGATCTGCAGCATCCCAAGCGTGGGCATGCGGGATCCCAGATGAACTTCCAGAACCCAAAGGCCAGTCTAGTAGCATCCGCAAAAGGTCTGCAGTACAACTAGTAAATGTTTAAACTGTATGTAGGTTTTCATCATTCTCCTACCTAGTTGTGTCATGTGTGTGTCCCCCCCCGGCCCCCGCAAATGAACAAAATAGCAGCATCTTGCTTAGAAAGTATAGATTCCTGTGCATACATTTTTTTCAAAGAAAGATTGTCCAAGAAAGGACAACAAGGAGTCTAATTTTATCTCCAGATGCAGTGCAGAGCTTACCCTTGTTTCTTTCCTTACATTGTAATGCCAAAATGGCAGCTTGCACACTTGACGTGTCTTACTGTCTGGCTGGAGAAGGACAGCATTTCAATGTGTTTTGCCGCATGTGCAAAACAAAATGATGTAAAATGTTTATTCCTTTTAACAGTCATGCTTGTGTTGCTGGTGCCAATCCAAAGATCTGTTGTCCCTGGAGGAAAGGCAGTCCTGTTTAAAGTTCAAAGCTAATGATCACGGATATGATAATTTCCGCTCCAGTAACAAGTACAGCTCTTCATAAAACAAGCATAAAAGGTATATTCTCTTACGTTAATGCTGGTGCCTTTTAAAGTAAAAGTGGCAATTACTTTCAACGAGATGGTAACGTTTAGAAAAATCTAGTTCGGTGTTTGCACAAAAAAAAAAGAACATAAAAAGAAATAATTGCCCCCAAACTGTGTCACATTCAAAATCATGGACATTTATAAAATCGTAATTTATGGAACATGAAGAAAAGCGTAGAAAGAACAAGTCATTGTTAGCACTTGAATACTTTTGAATCAGCACTTCCAAATGATCCCCACTTCCTGTACATTAAACGATCATTTGTATTCTCTGTAACAGTTGTAGGAACTGAAGTCACAGTAATTATTAAGCAGTATAACATAACGTTAATTGGATCAAAGCCATTATTATATATAGCTCAATATATTATCTTTTATAAAGCAGATTAACCACCATCACTATTGTGTTCTTTTTTAAATAAAACATGAGATGCTTTGTACTAGAAGTTTAAATGTAAAAAAAGTAGCATTTTTTTCAGAGGTGTTGTAGAGTTAGCTAATAAAAATATTAAAGGATGCAGTCAAGTCAAAAGCGCATGTCACTCTGATGATTGTTTTTATGTAGTATTGTTAGAAGGAACCTCCCAAGGTCTCTATAAATACCATTTTGTAACCACTTAGTGTGTTCTATGCATTTGGCAGCACTTTGGGTATGGTCCCTTTCACTGTTTCCACATAATTCATGTTTAATGACAGCAGAGGAGAGAAAAAGCAAAAATGATACTACTAGAACTATACAAACAATGGCTAGTATTGGAAATCAGCTATTTTTAACTGAAAACAAATTGTTTGTATCCCATGTAAACAGCGGGCATTCAGGAGCCTGACAGCTCTTTACTAGAGATACTTTTGTGGCAATTTACAACTGTTTTTGTAATCCAAATACCGTCTTGGGGCAAAATCCTTTAGAAATAACAGGTAGAAAAAAATGTAACCAGGGAAAACGGAGAATTTGAACTTCTATTTTCATTTAGATTTAAATCTTCATAAAGAAAATAATTCACAAACTGTACTTCTAGAGAATAGTGCTATGTAGCACACTTGTCTTCATACGGTTTTAAAATATGTTCTACTTTGGTAGTTCCATATTTATGAGCTTCAGAAGATGTGTGATTAGTTTCTGCTTCTGTAAATAGTTTAGTGAAGCGTAATTAATTATAAAGTATTAAAATATGGGCAGGACCCTGTGAGAAAACAGAAAGATAAAGATGCCTGTAGTAAACATGATGTGTGTTGCCGGGAGCAATGCACGTTTTGTACATACATGACAGGTCATTCTTTGGCTTTTCATTTCCTATTGATTTGTTACACATGTCCCCAAAGACTTATTAACATATTTTGTGCACTAAGGCATGAGTTTTTCAAGAAAAAAAAGTCATACAACATGCTTTTATAAAAGACATGCTTTCAATAGGCACGGTATTTTATTATAATAAAAATATTTATCAAAACTCAGGAATATTTTTTTTTTTTTATTTCCAAATTTCACATGTAAGGATTTTTTGCCTTTTTTTTCCCAGTGTTGATTAACTTCAGATTTTTTAATAAAGTGCCTTAAATATGCTCAGGATGAAAACACTTTTCATTAAAATGTTAAGCTGATGTTACCTTAGATGAGTTTCATCTCATCTGACTTTAGGTAGCTACAGCTACCTTGCAGATACCTAAAAACAGGAGAGGTGAACCCCATTCCTGGTGTTGCCCCATCAAAAGCTAGTAAATGTATGCTTGTATAATCAAGCTGAGGACCTATGCACATGCATTTGAGCATGGGCACGTGTATGTTTGTGCGTGTGTATGTGTGTGAGAGAGAGAGAGAGTATGTGTGTAAGTGTGCATGTTGTCTACCATTAGGTTGCTGTTACCATCTTGCTGCAGCACATGCACCCAACTGCTATAATGCTGAACTTTTTTCAATAGAAATCTATTTAAAGTTTTGTTCTTTGCATTTTTACCTTAACTTTCACGGTAACTTTCTCACGATAAGCCGTGAATATCACTTCACTTCACCCTGCCTGCATCTATTTCTGTGAAATGCGTTTCATCTGTTAAGGATGAATAATCGGTTAAATCCTAAGTTTGATACTGGTCAGTGTTATTTTCATCAAGTTATATCATTACAATATTGTACATGTATATTATTGTTATTTTTATTTAAAATATAGCTGTTGTACTGGCAAACGTGTAACATATTTTTCATTTTTTCCTGGACTAATTCTTTGTTAAGACGAGTTGTGCTAAGTCAGACATTTAGGTTTTGCAAATAAAGACCATATATACTGCCCACTTTTTGGAGTTAATATATAGGTATTAGTATACGTCTTGTCTTTTTTTGCAGTATTTTTCAAAGCAGTATTTTTCAAAGCAGCATTTTGACTGAAGTTCACATGTCCGGTAATAAAACTTTTCAAAACTTCTGCTCTCATGAAGTTAAAAAATACACCAGAGAGCTCCAGTGCATCTGTGTTCTAGCTAAGATTAAATCTCTAAATACTGAAGACAGGCATTTTCTCAAGTCCTCAGTACAAGTCCTCCATCCACTGAAATCAAAGCATGTTTGATCATTTAATTCAGTTGGAGCAGAATTAGGACACAGCAACAGCTCTTCAAAAAACCTAGCTGACATTTGCTACCTTGAATAAAAAAACCCTAAAAGCTAAGTAGTCTTTTTTTTTTTTTTTTCCTTTTTTGATGAATTTGTCATTTAGGAAAGTTAGGAAAAAAGAGTAAAATCCCCTCGTGGGGTAAAACAGCCAAGTCTAAGGCTCTCTAAGCAACTGCAGAGAGGCACGTGCATCTTTATAGCAGTTCAATGCTGTCCAGAGTGGTGTGACAGAGTAAGGGTCATCTGTCCCAATGGCCTGAAGAGTTGACACAGAATGGCTTCTTGAGATGAAAAACAGAAACTGGTAAGAAACTACATCACATCTCTGTGTTTTGGCCTTCAGGTAGTAGGTAGATTTTACTTCCCCAGCTGCTCTGCAATCTGCTTGCACATAGCTCTCTCGGAGTTCAGAGGGCGTTTCAGACTGGATGGACTGAACTGATACACTGGTACTACACCTCAGAGACTCAAATGCAAAATTTGAATGGTTATGGAGCATCTGCTGTAAGCTGTGGCATTTATTTCACTTTCCAAAACTTTTCCAAAACAGCTCTTGATCAACACACGGTTGGCTTAGCAAGAGAATGTTATATGTACTGAAACAATGTTAAAAGGATTTTTTGCAATTGTTCTGTATAGCTATGTAAAATAATTCTATATTTCATTTTCTGTGGTCACTTAAAATAGTAACTTCTGTGGTTCAGACAGTGTAAACATACTAAATTACCAATAAAATATTTGTAATTTTGATTCATTACAAAAAGACGTCTGACCTTTTTTCTTCCCGGGGGTCCCACTTAATTGTTAAACAGTGAGAGTGATGTAAAAAAGAAATAAGCTATTCAGAGCTAAAAATCAAAGCTTTTGAGTGGAATAGTTTTATGTGGCTGAAAACTGGAGAGAGTTCAGACTTGCATATGTGTTGCAAAATTGTCTGCTGTTTGTTGGAACAATCAGTCATGCCTATCTTTGCTCTGTTTGTTTTTGCTCGAAATGTCAGTTGCAATCTCTTCTCTACACACCATATATAGGCACAAATCCTCCTGTGTTAGGGACACCACAAATAAAAGGCATGAAACTTTTAGTTCATTTATGTAGAAGTGTATGCACTCTGCTGGAATATGCGTAATGAAAACCGTCATCCCTTTAAATGCTGACAGGGTAATTTTGTGCATATTTCAATTTACCTGTTTTTAAAGCAGTGAAAAAGTATCAGACTAAATATGCTGTAGCTGGTGAAATACATAACTTTCTATGCTTTCAGTATCTCTACATCCCAAAATGTCTTTGCTGCTACTGCTGTTTTATTCCAAATAGTTACGTTTCCTTCTGCTTAGTTGGTGTCCTGCTGCATCTGTATAGATTTGTCTGTTTTTTTCATGGTTCCGGGACCTTTAGCACATAGTTTCAAGTTCCCTATGCCTGGAACAGAAGCACCTGTAGAGATGAGATCCCTTGTAAGTAAATATTCTACTCAGTATCTCTAATGGGCTCTTCTCTTCCTTTCCCTTCATCTTTGGTCCTCAGTAATGCTATGGTCTGAAGTTTTCACCAACCACTCATTACAGAGAAGCACTTTTTGCGTATTTCTTTTGAGATCCTACAGCTTTCTACACGTAAGCCATACTCTTCACAGCCCAACTAACTTACTCCCTTGCCACAATTCACTTTTCTAGCTGTTGGTCTCATTCACAATATTATCTTCTGCAGTCTTGGCGCTTTCGTTTAGGGGATTAACTGCAGCTTGTTGTCCATTTTCTAAACACACTAGAACTTACATAGCAACATGCATATACATGTAGCCTACGTTCTTCAAACACTGCGTCACTCTAACTCTCTGCCTTAATAAGGGTAGGTTTGGCATGCTGGTGTTGGAGCAGGATGGTCCAACTGGCAACCTGTGGCTCAATCTGGTCCATAGAGTGGTTCACTTTTCACGGCACCTTCCTGCAGCCTGCTGCTCAGACCATCCGGTTCTTGTAGTCAGCTCAAGAAGGCCCAAGAGTTTTCCATGTGCAGGCTGTATACTTCCATTCAAATTTCTAATCCAAGTCGCTGAATGGGTGTCCACATCAGGAGATCAAGAGAGACAAAAGGACTCAAAAGGAATCTTCTGTGTTCTGCTGGGCACCTTCTCAGCAGTGGCAAGATCACTGTATTACATAGCACCAGCTTTCAGATTGTTTATTGCTTTGCAATTGCTAATTTCAAAGTACTATCGTTACAACTTTGGCATCCATTTGGCCTTGTCAGTACTCTCATTTAGATGTGAAGGAGGTCCCAAAGCTCACCCTCACCACTCCAAAGGCACATCCCCTTCAGTCCTCTTTCGTTCTCTTGAACAAGAAAATTATCACTTGGAAAGAAAGTTCTGCTACAATTAATAGTAAAACCTTCAGAAATTGATATTTTACCTTAGTAATCAATCTCCTAAACTTCAACGAAATCTCCATGACAAGCCAAAGGTGTCTTCATTGTGGGAGCTAGTAGCTGGAAGGAATTTTACTGAAGTGATGTGGTAACTAGTTAGATCATACAGCTCAACAGGGAGCTATGTATGTTATGGGATGAGGCGCTGCATCAAAATTTTCAGAACAGTAACATGGAAGATACCACATTAATATCTTGATGATGCCCATCAGTGGATATCTATGGTTATAACTTCACTGTTGCCATGAAGCTTCCCATCCTCTATAGCCACCCTAGAAGAGTGCCCTGGGAAAAAGGGGGAGTCAAATCTGAAACCCAGTAAAACCTCAAAGGAAACCCTGGTAAGGAATTAGGGTAACCATACCTTCTTCACAAACCACATTATCCAAATCTTGCTTCCACTTGTTCTTTTTGGTCTTGGGGAAGAGGATAGGGGGAAGTATTTGTTGCCCTTTTACCTTTCTCTGACCTTCATTTCCCAAAGTTTTTA